TGAGAAAAGAAGAGTATCTAGGCAATGGAGGTATGGTTCTACAGAAGGATGCTAAGGATAACATGGACCAGGCGTATGAGCAACGATGAGGTTTTGGAGAGGATGCAAACAAAGTGTAAGCTTATACTTAACATCAGGAAGAGGCAGATGAAATTTCTGGGACACATAATGAGAAAAGAATAGTCTCAAGGCAATGGAGGTATGGTTCTACAGAAGGATGCTAAGGATAACATGGACCGAGCGTGTGAGCAAGGATGAGGTTTTGGAGAGGATGCAAACAAGGAGGAAGCTTATACTTAACATCAGGAAGAGGCAGATGAAATTTCTGGGACACATAATGAGAAAAGAAGAGTCTCAAGGCAATGGAGGTATGGTTCTACAGAAGGATGCTAAGGATAACATGGACCGAGCGTGTGGAGCAACGATGAGGTTTTGGAGAGGATGCAAACAAGGAGGAAGCTTATACTTAACATCAGGAAGAGGCAGATGAAATTTGGGACACATAATGAGAAAAGAATAGTCTAGAGGCAATGGAGGTATGGTTCACAGAAGGATGCTAAGGATAACATGGACCGAGCGTGTGAGCAAGGATGAGGTTTTGGAGAGGATGCAAAACAAGAAGGAAGCTTATACTTAACATCAGGAAAGGCAGATGAAATTTCTGGGACACATAATGAGAAAAGAAGAGTCTCAAGGCAATGGAGGTATGGTTCTACAGAAGGATGCTAAGGATATCATGGACCGAGCGTGTGAGCAACGATGAGGTTTTTGGAGAGGATGCAAACAAGGAGGAAGCTTATACTTAACATCAGGAAGAGGCAGATGAAATTTCTGGGACACATAATGAGAAAAGAAGAGTCTCAAGGCAATGGAGGTATGGTTCTACAGAAGGATGCTAAGGATAACATGGACCGAGAGTGTGAGCAACGATGAGGTTTTGGAGGATGCAAACAAGGAGGAAGCTTATACTTAACATCAGGAAGAGGCAGATGAAATTTCTGGGACACATAATGAGAAAGAATAGTCTCAAGGCAATGGAGGTATGGTTCTACAGAAGGATGCTAAGGATAACATGGACCGAGCGTGTGAGCAAGGATGAGGTTTTGGAGAGGATGCAAACAAGGAGGAAGCTTATACTAACATCAGGAAGAGGCAGATGAAATTTCTGGGACACATATAAGAAAAAGAAGAGTCTCAAGGCAATGGAGGTATGGTTCTACAGAAGGATGCTAAGGATAACATGGACCGAGCGTGTGAGCAACGATGAGGTTTTGGAGAGGATGCAAACAAGGAGGAAGCTTATACTTAACATCAGGAAGAGGCAGATGAAATTTCTGGGACACATAATGAGAAAAGAATAGTCTCAAGGCAATGGAGGTATGGTTCTACAGAAGGATGCTAAGGATAACATGGACCGAGCGTGTGAGCAAGGATGAGATTTTGGAGAGGATGCAAACAAGAAGGAAGCTTATATTTAACATCAGGAAGAGGCAGATGAAATTTCTGAGACACGTAATGAGAAAAGAAGAGTCTCAAGGCAATGGAGGTATGGTTCTACAGAAGGATGCTAAGGATAACATGGACCGAGCGTGTGAGCAACGATGAGGTTTTGGAGAGGATGCAAACAAGAAGGAAGCTTATATTTAACATCAGGAAGAGGCAGATGAAATTTCTGGGACACATAATGAGAAAAGAAGAGTCTCAAGGCAATGGAGGTATGGTTCTACAGAAGGATGCTAAGGATAACATGGACCGAGCGTGTGAGCAACGATGAGGTTTTGGAGAGGATGCAAACAAGGAGGAAGCTTATACTTAACATCAGGAAGAGGCAGATGAAATTTCTGGGACACATAATGAGAAAAGAAGAGTCTCAAGGCAATGGAGGTATGGTTCTACAGAAGGATGCTAAGGATAACATGGACCGAGCGTGTGAGCAACGATGAGGTTTTGGAGAGGATGCAAACAAGGAGGAAGCTTATACTTAACATCAGGAAGAGGCAGATGAAATTTCTGGGACACATAATGAGAAAAGAATAGTCTCAAGGCAATGGAGGTATGGTTCTACAGAAGGATGCTAAGGATAACATGGACCGAGCGTGTGAGCAAGGATGAGGTTTTGAGAGGATGCAAACAAGGAGGAAGCTTATACTTAACATCAGGAAGAGGCAGATGAAATTTCTGGGACACATAATGAGAAAAGAAGAGTCTCAAGGCAATGGAGATATGGTTCTACAGAAGGATGCTAAGGATAACATGGACCGAGCGTGAGCAACGATGAGGTTTTGGAGAGGATGCAAACAAGGAGGAAGCTTATATTTAACATCAGGAAGAGGCAGATGAAATTTCTGGGACACATAATGAGAAAAAGAAGAGTCTCAAGGCAATGGAGGTATGGTTCTACAGAAGGATGCTAAGGATAACATGGACCGAGCGTGTGAGCAACGATGAGGTTTTGGAGAGGATGCAAACAAGGAGGAAGCTTATACTTAACATCAGGAAGAGGCAGATGAAATTTCTGGGACACATAATGAGAAAAGAATAGTCTCAAGGCAATGGAGGTATGGTTCTACAGAAGGATGCTAAGGATAACATGGACCGAGCGTGTGAGCAACGATGAGGTTTTGGAGAGGATGCAAACAAATAGGAAGCTTATACTTAACATCAGGAAGCGGCAGATGAAATTTCTGGGACACATAATGAGAAAAGAATAGTCTCAAGGCAATGGAGGTATGGTTCTACAGAAGGATGCTAAGGATGACATGGACCGAGCGTGTGAGCAACGATGAGGTTTTGGATAGGATGCAAACAAGGAGGAAGCTTATACTTAACATCAGGAAGAGGCAGATGAAATTTCTGGGACACATAATGAGAAAAGAATAGTCTCAAGGCAATGGATGTATGGTTCTGAGAAGGATGCTAAGGATAACATGGACCGAGCGTGTGAGCAAGGATGAGGTTTTGGAGAGGATGCAAACAAGGAGGAAGCTTATACTTAACATCAGGAAGCGGCAGATGAAATTTCTGGGACACATAATGAGAAAAGAAGAGTCTCTAGGCAATGGAGGTATGGTTCTACAGAAGGATGCTAAGGATAACATGGACCAGGCGTATGAGCAACGATGAGGTTTTGGAGAGGATGCAAACAAAAGTGAAGCTTATATTTAACATCAGGAAGAGGTGATGAAATTTCTGGGACACGTAATGAGAAAAGAATAGTCTCAAGGCAATGGAGGTATGGTTCTACAGAAGGATGCTAAGGATAACATGGACCGAGTGTGTGAGCAACGATGAGGTTTTGAGAGGATGCAAACAAGGAGGAAGCTTATACTTAACATCAGGAAGAGGCAGATGAAATTTCTGGGACACATAATGAGAAAAGAATAGTCTCAAGGCAATGGAGGTATGGTTCTACAGAAGGATGCTAAGGATAACATGGACTGAGCGTATGAGCAACGATGAGGTTTTGGAGAGGATGCAAACAAGGAGGAAGCTTATACTAACATCAGGAAGAGGCAAATGAAATTTCTGGGACACATAATGAGAAAAGAAGAGTCTCAAGGCAATGGAGGTATGGTTCTACAGAAGGATGCTAAGGATATCATGGACCGAGCGTATGAGCAACGATGAGGTTTTGGAGAGGATGCAAACAAGGAGGAAGCTTATACTTAACATCAGGAAGCGGCAGATGAAATTTCTGGGACACATAATGAGAAAAGAAGAGTCTCTAGGCAATGGAGGTATGGTTTTACAGAAGGATGCTAAGGATAACATGGACCAGGCGTATGAGCAACGATGAGGTTTTGGAGAGGATGCAAACAAAGTGTAAGCTTATACTTAACATCAGGAAGAGGCAGATGAAATTTCTGAGACACATAATGAGAAAAGAAGTGTCTCAAGGCAATGGAGGTATGGTTCTAAAGGATGCTAAGGATATCATGGACCGAGCGTGTGAGCAATGATGGGTTTTTGAGAGAGGATGCAAACAAGGAGAAGCTTATACTTAATATCAGGAAGAGGCAGATTTCTGAGACACGAATGAGAAATTAGGAGAAAATCTGAGAATAGAGAGAGAGAGAGAGAGAGAGAGAGAGAGAGAGAGAGAGAAAAGCAACGCGTGGCATACCTAGCGGGATTAAGCAAATGGATCAGGGAAGAGGGTTTGGGAGAAATAGAAAAAAAGACAAAACATATTGAGTGGTAAAAGGAGAGGATGAAGTGGAGAGCCATGATCCCCTACGTTCTGAAAGGACAGTGCACGTAAAAGAAGTATTAATAGTAATCATATCATCACGAGTATTTATTACTTGTAGTAATGTCAAAAAATTATTAATTGTTGATGATTATTTATTTTATATTAATATTAGTTGATTTTCCAAACATTTATTTATGCCATCAGTCTGTGAACGTATGTAAATAAGTATTTTATTATTAATATCATTATTTGTCAACCTTTATTAATATTTGACTATCAAAACCACTAGTCTAAGTCTGTTCGTAAACAAGTAGTAATATTATCTTGAATTTTATTATTAGATAACACATTGTCAATTTTTACTATTTTTTCTCGTATTTTCCTGGTAACTTAAATTATTTTACCACACAATTGTCTTGAAGTTTATTATCATTAGATGAAGCATTATCAAACATTATTGATTATTGTATTTCTTAGGGTATCACGATATAGTTTTTCGTTAAAAGAAGTGATATCTTATTGTATCTTATTATAATTAAATGAATCATTGTCTTGTATTTCTTTCATCCTAATTTTAGTTGTTTTTCCTGCCATCTCATCCAACCATCACTATGGTCAATTAGTAAGCAAATAATAACATTATCCTCAATTTTATTTTTATTAGCCGAAATATTGTTATCCATAATTCATTTTTGATAAATATTTCAGTGTCACTAATCGAAACGTTGATTTACAGCAGTGATTAACCAGTGCTAATCATAAATAAAGATTAAACTCTCGACAATTAAAAGTGATTCTTTTAAAGAATTCAAACTTGAAAAGCTGAAGTAAGTAAAAGGGTGAAAAGAAAGAAAGTAATAAATGAAATGAGAGAGAGAGAGAGAGAGAGAGAGAGAGATGGAAAGAAAATCCGAAAAACGAAAGTGAAAGAGAGAGAGATAGTGAAAATTATTAGAGAGGAAGAAGTGAAAGAGAGAGAGAGAGAGAGAGAGAGAGAGAGAGAAAGAAAGAGATAGTAAAAATTAGTAGAGACGAAGAAGAAAAAGAAGAGAATGAAGAGAGATATGAGAAGAGTGAAAGATTGAGAACAGGAAACGGAGCGGCGGCGAAGAAAATTTACGAAGAAGAAGAAGAAGAAGAAATTAAGACAGTATAAGACGAATATGAAAAGTATAGATGAATACGTAGAGAGGACGAGAAAAAGAAAAGAAGGGGAATGAAAAGACGACAGAAGAAAAACTGGAAAAAAAAAACGTAGAAAGTGAAAAAAATGAAGTTAAGGAGAAAGAAGAAAAAGAAAAGGTGGAGGACAAGAAAGTCGGCTAAAATGGCAAGAACTAGAATTAGATCAAAAGGAAGAATTTAAAATGAAACAAAACCAACAGAAAAGAGGGTTAATGAGCAGACAAAGCGAGAAAAATCCCAAGCAGAAAGTAGCAGAAAGCGATAAAGAACAAATAAAAGAAAACAGCGAATAAATAAGGGAAAAAAACAAACAAAAAAAAACAAACAAAAAAAAAAAAAACAATGAAATGATCATATTCTCCCTGTCGGCGCAGTCGTTAGTTTTGGCGGTAAAAGCGCCGACTCCATCTTTGGTAGCTTGGCAGGAAAAAATTCCGTTCCACACCCGATACAAGTGGCTCAATAAGACCAATTATATAGTAACAATAACGGCAATTAACCAAAACACAATGTAGGTAATTACTTTGGGTTTCGGTCGTGGCTAAGATTTAACCAAAATCGCCACCATCCACACCATTCTCTTCGCTCGCTTTACCTCCAGTCTTTCCTTATGACTTTCTGTTGCGTCATAAGATTTTACGTTTTTGGCAGAATCGCTTCTCGCTGCTGCTCCCACCCAGTATATTATTTCTTTATTCTCTTCGATTTTATTTTCTAAATTTTATTGTTTCAATTTCCACGTTTATTTTTATTACGGATATTTTCTCGGTTTTACTCCGTGTACGTTTGTCTGGAGATTTTCTATTGGCTACTGCGACGCATGCGCAGAAAGAGCTCATTAAAATCATTTTGAAAACAAGATTTTGTGTTTATTTTTATTTCGGTGAATACAAATACACACACAGATTCTCGCATTGAAAGAGATGAAAGCAGAGAAAATTAGTTTACATATTGCATCTAATATTACGTATCTATGTTTGTAATCAAAGGTTACGTCTGTATATTCATCAATACATATCCACCATGCATTTATCAAGAATTATAAAAATAAATACACATATAAATTTATATTTTCCTGACGCATATGTAATTACACACAAGGGTCACTCCGAACGTGTCATTCCGAAAGGGTCACTCTGAAAGTAATGCCTCCGGTTTAATTATGTTAGCCCACAATGATTGGTAGTTGTATGGCTGTAAAGAAATTTTCTCTCTACAAACAATGATTTCTTGCATCAGCAGCTGAACAGCAATCTGACAAAATGGCAGCTGACATGAAACAGCGAACGAAGCAGATATTTGTCACGTGGGAAAAAAATTGAACCCCAAGCAAGGGAATAAAGCCACTAAAGCCCAAAGGGGTTACTGAGCGTTAGAGAAATTCAGAATAAAACTACTAGGAGAGAGGACAATAAAAGAACAAGAATTAAGAAGACAGGAGATAACGATTGACATTGCATTTAATTTTTTGAAGATCAAATTTGTCTGGAAACCAAGAAGCTGGAAGTGAGTTTCATCCGCGATAAGTGCGAGAAAAGAAACTGTTAGCATAGAACTTACGTAAAATTGATGAGATCTTGCCGCAAATTTACTATTGCAATTAAATTCATAATGTCTAGGTACCATAGAGGAAAGTTCCTCAGAACAATTACGATTAAAGTATTTATAAAAAGGCAAAGAAAAACTACGTTACGGCAGTGGGAAACTGACTGAAGAAGAGATGCCAGGTCAGGACAAGTAACATTGCAGATTCTTCTTTGGATTTTATGAAATATCTCTAAATAAATATCAGGAACATCAGACCGAAGTGGCAGCAATATTCAAGGCGAGAACAAATGGTAAACGTATAAATATGTAACAGCCTACCTCGACACAGTGAACCAACTTTCTTAACTACAGACTTATTAATTGATTCAGTATAGAATATGTCAGAGAATTTAAGAAAAATTATTAAGAGAGAGGACAATAAAAGAACAAGAATAAAGAAGACAGAAAATTACGACTAACATTGAAGTCACATTTTTGAAGTTGACTGGGAAGCAAGAAACCGACAGAGATTTCCACGAGCGTGAAGTACGAGAAAAGAATCCGTTAGCAAAGAACTTATGGTTACATCTAACCATTTCAACGGTAAAATGATGAGACCTGACAGCCAATCTAGTACTGCTCTTAAATTCCTAAAGTCTACAGAGAGAAAAACTCCCCAGGACAATTACTATGAAAGTATTTATAGAAAAAACACAGGGAAGCTGTGTGTGACACTATTTAGCTATGGTAATTGGTTAACTAATTAAGCATGGAAATTAAAAACGAGAAATATTTAAGGCGAGAAAGAGCTATAACGAAAGACATACAGAGCGATATTATGTTTTTTTTTTTTGAAAATGGCTAAATGTATAGCCGAAAGCGCTCGGATTAAAAGAACATTCGGACAGTTTTTATATAATTTATCGTCTGAAAAGAAAAAATATTAGATCGCATGAGAAATTGTATAAAAAACTAAATCAAAACACCCTGTCTGTCGTATTTAATGAAATATATATACATACATATATATATATATATATATATATATATATATATATATATATATATATATATATTAGCTATCTTCAATTTGCACAAGGGTGTATATGGGACGATTGATATTACATAGGATTTCAGCTCTCTTTTATATGTTTCCAATGAAAATTTTCCTTATTTGTGCCTCGCTTCGTTGTTTTGAATACAACTTTTGCGATTCCAATGTGTATTCAGATTTTGGTGTCAGATTTTCCATTCTCCATTCCAGATATTTAAGCTTCTGTAACAGTTTGATGTTGACATCTTCGATTAGTTTCGCATCTTGTGAATTATTTTTTTTCGTTTTTTTTTAAGCATTACGCCCCGAGCAAGGCGTGAAGCCACTAGGATGCAGGGGGTTGCAGTAGATTTGGAGCAAGAGCAGATAGGAGTGAAAGAAGAAAGGATGAGTTGAGGGATAGTGGATAGATCAAGGTAACTGGAGGTGTCGATTGACATTACATTTTAATAATTGGAGATTATAGCTCTCAGGGAAACAGTAATTGGAAAGGGTGTTCCACAGGCGAGAAGTGCGAGGTATGAAGCTATTGGAGTAGAAGAGACGGCTACATTTAAAAGTTTCTACAGTGTAAGGGTGGGAGCGGGATGCCAGCCGTGTAGGGCGCTTGAATTCATGGAGTCTTGTAACCAGTGAAAGCAGCTCATCGGAGCAATTACCATGAAAGTATTTGTATAAAAGACAGAGAGAGACGACGGCGCGTCTGTGAGAGATTGACTGTAGACCAGACGCCAGATCAGGGCCAATTATATTACATATCCGTCTCTTGATCTTGTCAAGAACTCCGAGATAAACAGAAGGTGCCCCAGAACATATATGGCAGCAATACTCCATGCAAGGGCGAATGGTTGATTTGTATATTTGAAGTATCGATTCCGGGGAGAAAAATTTCCTGGCGCAGCACAGAGAGCCAACTTTCCTCGCGCTGGAAGAAGCAATTGACTCAATGTATTTGTTCCATCTCTGGTCAGCAGTCAACGTGAGACCGAGCAGACGCAGGAAGTTGCTCTCAAGAAGTTGACTATCAAACATTCTAATGGGGGGCAGGGAAAGATCTCTGTCCGTGATTAATAGAGAGTAGTTTAGTTTTTGAGGCGTTAAAGTTGACCAGCCAATTCTTGCCCCAATTAACAACCGATTGGAGGTCCATTTCAAGACGCACGGCCAGGTTAGTTTTGTCATCGACACTAGATTTGTTTTTGAGGCAGGAGTAAATTGTAGTGTCGTCCGCGTAGATGTCAACTTGGAAATTTATGGTGTCAGGAAGGCCGTTGATGAAAATAAGGAATAGAGTGGGGCCAAGGATGGAGCCTTGGGGAACACCTGCGTTCGTGGGATAGGAACTGGAGGAGAATCCGTTGAGAACGACCTTCAATTCACGGTTTGACAGGAATTATTGTATTAGATCAAACAATCGACCTGTAATACCATAACCCTGGAGCTTACGAAGAAGGCCGGCATGCCAAACGCTATCAAATGCTTTGGAGATGTCTAGGGCCACGCCACGAGTCTCACTGTTATTTTGAAGGGCTTCTCTTGCTGACAACCATACATTCTCTCTTCTTACAGGTTTCCTTTACTACATTATATAGCATGTCCTGTAGTTTTCTTTATGTGATTTGCTATCAACACAGTTTCATCTGCGTGTCTTACTGTCTTAAGTGTGCGCCCACTGAAAATAAATCCTGGCAGTGTCTTCCGATCTCTTAGGATAGCCTCGTTGTAGATTTTGAATAAATGGCTTTGTTTCATTTAGATCGAAACAACCTGGTTAAATCAAACAAAGACTTTCTAGATAAAAAGAAAAGCGAAAAAGCCTCTCTCTAGATAAAAAAGGCAAAGAACTAAATTAGGAATTATTTTATGAAGCGTATTTGTCTAGGCAACCTGTTTTGTGTAAATTCGTCTAATGATTTCTAGAATGCATTGTAAAACTTTCGTCAGTATGACAGAAACATATGGACAAGACTGTTTTATGAGCCTCTTTATTTAAATCTGATTAATAATGTGAGATACAAAGTAAACAAAATAGATAGATAAATAGATGGATAGATCTTTTTCTTCTTCTATGTGTTTTTTTTTGTTTCGATCATGGCTCTTCACACTTCCCATCTTTTTTAGATCTAAACAATATTTATCGACTATTACATACAAAATCAAAGAAAGAAAGAACAGCAAAGATCAAACATACAAAGCAAAAGAACAGCAAAAATAAGCAAAGCATCTTTCTAGATAAAAAAAAAAAACGACAATAAAAAAAAAGAACAATTCAAGTGTCTAAAAATCCATTGTGCACTCTTGACTTATTTATGGGATCGAATCCTGGGTGTCATATACCAACCAACGTTATCCTAAAACGCTTCCAACAATGTTGGTTTTACATCATTTTCCGTATCAGTTTCACAATCACAGAATTTGAACGAAAGGTCGTTATGAAATTGGAATGGTAGAAGCTTGAAATTAAATATATTTCTCAGCAAAAGAGAACTGCTAAAAGATAAAATCTTGAGGCATGTTGGTTTGTTATAGTACGGCTCTTTTACGGCATCTCAACTTCAGTAGGTTATTTAATGCCGACAAGATTTTTATTGCTGGTAATATTTTTTTTCGAAAAGTATCGCTGGCAATATCAGATCAGAGGCCTTGCTGTTGGGTGTAGTTTATCGTCTTAACCAGGACGCGGATGTAGTTTATCGTCTTACTGAGGACGCGGATGTAGTTTATCATCTTACCCGGGACACGGATGTAGTTTATCATCTTACCCAGGACGTGGATGTAATTTATCGTCTTACCGAGTACGCGGTTGTAGTGTATCGTCTTACCAAGGACGACGGTGTAGCTTATCGTCATACCCAGGAGGGAGACACGTCGGTGTCAGTAAGAGCTAGCGGTTAACGAATGACATAAAAAAGTCAAATATCACAGGATGGCAGAGAGCCCAACCAGAAACAGAGAAACTCACCTGGAGTGATCTCTTATTTAATAATAGACTTCACCCACTACAACACTCCAGAGACACAAAGATTACTGTTCAAATAGTTATGAGGATTATGAGGATAAGAGGGATATATAACGATTGACCATTGACTTGAGTATGTCAAGATGGTAGTGCTTCAAATATGGCAGAATATAGTGGAATGGAAGAGTAAATATGTTCTGTAAAGTTAATAGTAACCCAAGCAAATGTACCTAATAACCTATACAAACAGTATATTTCTTTATTTTCGTCTACTTACTGAATACAATGGTCGTAGGACA